CAAAACTCTGAAAGAGATTCTTAAAAAATACATAATGAAATCCCCTGTAAAGAGCTCTGGAGTCTCTTTTTTTTTTAATTTATGTTATTGATTATGCCATTACAGTTGTTCTATTCCCCCCTTCATTCCCCTCCACCCTACCCTCCCCGTCCCCACCATTACCCCCCCTTTAGTTTATGACCATGTGTCTCAAGTTCTTTAGATTCTATATTTCCCATACTATTCTTGCCCCCCCCATCTATTTTCTATCTACTGTCTATGCTACTTATTTTCTGTACCTTCTCCCCCCTTCTCCTCCTCCCACTCCCCTGTTGCTAACCCTCCTTGAGATCTTCATTTCTATGTTTCTACTCCTGACCTAGCTGTCCTTTTAGTTTGCTTTCGTTTTAGGTGTGGTTGTTAATAACTGTGAGTTTACTGTCCTTTCACTGTTCATCTTTTTTTAACTTCTTTTTCTTAGATAAGTCCCTTTAACATTTCATATAATAAGGGCTCGGTGATGATGAACTTCTTGAATTTGATCTTATCTGAGAAGCACTTTATCTGTGCTTCCATTCTAAATGAAAGTTTTGCTGGATAGAGCAATCTTGGTTGTAGGTCTTTGGGTTTCATAACTTGGAATACCTCTTTCCAGCCCCTTCTTGCCTGTAAGGTCTCTTTTGAGAAATCTGCTGACAGTCTGATGGGGACTCCTTTGTAGGTGACTGTCCCCTTATCTCTTGCTGCTTCTAGGATTCTCTCCTTCATTTTAATCTTGGCTAATGTAATAATGATGTGCCTTGGTGTGTTCCTTCTTGGGTCCAACTTCTTTGGGACTCTCTGAGCTTCCTGGATTTCCTGGAAGTCTATTTCCTTTGCCAGATTGGGGAAATTCTCCTTTATTATTTGTTCAAATAAGTTTTCCACTGGTGGCTGTTCCTTTCCCGCTTCTGGTACCCCTATAATTCAGATGTTGGAGTGTTTAAAGATGTCCTGGAGGTTCCTAAAACTCTCTTCATTTTTTTGAATTCTTGCTTCTTTACTCTTTTCTGTTTGGCCATTATTTGCTTTCTTCTGGTCCAATCCATTGATTTGAGTCCCAGTTTCCTTTTCATCGCTATTGGTTTCCTGTGCAATTCCATTCATTTCAATTAGTTTCGCCTTCAATATGTTTCTCTAATTTGTGGCTATAATCAACCAGTTTTGTGAGGATCCTGATCACCAGTGTTTTAAACTGTGCGTCTGAGAGTTTTGCTATTTCTTCATTGCTTAAATTTATAGGCTCTGGGCTTTGAGATCTTCTTGAGCCATTTTTGGTCTGTTTGAGCCCGTTAAGTAGGAGGAGCAGAGCCTTGGACTCCCAGGTCGCTGGGTTGTGACGCTGTATGTGGGGGCGTGGTCAGAGCGGGGAAATGGCGGCCCCCCTCTGCTGTTTTGCTCCACTTGGTGAGGAGCAGAGCCTTAGGTGGTTCACCAGGGCAGGGCCACTTAGGTCACTGGGTTATGACGCTGTATGTGGAGGCAGGGTCAGAGCGGGGAAATGTCGGTGTCCTCCGCTGTTGCTCGCCACCGAGGCTGCTGGCTCTCGTTCCAATTGCCCACTCCCTCCCTTGTCTATCCACACACGAATGCGCGACCACAGTCAACCCACAGCCCTGCTCCCTCGCTGTTTCCCGCAGTCGCTTGCTGAGTTGCCCACCAGGTCCAACCCTGCGCCTGGATTCCTTGCACGTGAGTCCGTCTGACCGAGTTTTCCTATGCAACCCCACTCCGCCAGCTGCTGGTTTTGCCCCTCTTACCGGTCAGGCTGAAGAATTCGTTGTTATCGGACTTCCAAAAAGTTCAATTTTCTGTGTTCTGGCTGTGTTTTCTGTTGCTAATATTTAGTTGTCTCTAAACTTGGTTGTGCGAGAAAGCACTGCGTATCCACCTATGCCTCCATCTTGGCGGAAGTCCTCTGGAGTCTCTTTTAGCTCTTCCAACTGTGGAATTCAGTTGTTAATTTTTTCATCTGTTTACTAATTTTTACTCACTATAGAATCTGACAGATGAGTATATTATGTACATCTGTATAAACTAATATTCTAAGTATTATTAGAATTATTATTAGAGAAGTGGGCATGAAATCAGACTGAATTATAATCTTAGCTCTAATCCTAGATAATATTACATCGGACAAATCATTTCACTTATCTGGGCCTGTTTTCTCTTTTGTGAACAAAGGAGTTATATTTGATCATTTAACCCATGACTTTGTCACACAATCTAAATCATAAAAGTTCAGGCATATTAAAAAAAAGATCAAGGATAACCTTGTTATTCTCAGCTCTGGTCATGTTCTTTAAAATAAAAATATGTGGAAAACACATGACATTATGACATGGTTTTTCCTTCTCCTTAAATTTGTACAATATAGGAATTCATAAATTTCATCTAATTTTTAAAACTTTTAATCTTCAAAAGAAGAAAAACTTCACCTTTTACTCAGTGGCTGTAAGAGACCATTCTTCGTGGCGTTGGCCCAGCTCCCAGTGGCAAATAGTTACTGCAAACTAACTTCCTAAAATCCTTGCTAAACCTTCCAAGGATGAGTGTAACTGGTTCAACCACTTCTGTCTTTTCATTTGCAAATATCTCTCTTCTGTGACATGATTAGCAGCATTGGCTCCTTTGTTTTCTGTAAAGGTAACCACCTGAAGCAACCTGTGCACAGTAAATGAGGACCATCTTGTAATGTGCTGAGAAACCCAATAAAGTCTGGTCATGGCGAGGGCCACAGCTTGTGCTCCCCTTGAGAGAAAAGCCTTGCTGTCCCTTTTCCTCCACAGGACTCGGTAGTCCGTGTGAATATCTCACTTCATCCAAAATGACACAGACACTGTGTGTCCGCATCAGGTAGCCTTTAAAAGTATAATTTAGTCCTGGCTGGTGTGGCTCAGTGGGTTGAGTGCCAGCCTGCAAACCGAAAGATTGTTGGTTCAATTCCCAGCTGGTGCATGTGCCAGCGTTGAGGGTTAGGTCCCCAGTTGGGGTCATATAGGAGATAATCAGTCTATGTTTCTCTTGCACATCAATGTTTTTCTCCCTCCCTTCTCCTCTCTCTGAAATAAAAATCTTTTTAAAAATAAAAGTATAATTTAGCTTTTAAAAGTATAATGTTCTTGCCATGGCCAAGTGGGTTAGTTGGTTGGAACATCATCCCCTACGCCAAAAAGTTGTGTGTTTGATTCCCAGCTAAGGCACACACCTAGGTTGCGAGTTCAGTCCCTGGTTGGGGCACATATGGGAGGCAACCAGTAGATGTTTCTCTCTCACATTCTTTTTCTCTTAAATCAATTTTTAAAAAAAATATATAATCACAAAAAATCCAGACAAGTCTATCCCAGTTGTTATTACTATTAAACAACCTACCCCAAAACATAGTGGTTTAAAACAGTAATAATCATTTAATTAGCTCATAAGCCTGCATTTTGGGTGTGATTCTTTGGGGTAGCTCTTTTCTATACATAGTGTTAGCTAGGACAGTTTGAAAGCTGGAGCTAATTAAACATTTTTTCAACTCTTCCTTTTGTAGCAAGCCTTTTTGAAAAAGTTTTCTGTGGTCACTATCTCTAATTCTTTTCTGCCATTTTCTTTTTATAAAAATATATTTTAAAAGAATTCATTTTAAAATAATCTCAAATGTAGAGAAAGTTTGCCAGAAGGGTAAAAAAGACTTCCTTATCCTCATACCTCAGTTCCCCAGTTCTTAACATTAGTGAATTTGCTCCACTGTTTAGTAACCCTGGCTCTCTCCCTTTTCCTGTACACACACACACTCACGCACACATACATGTATGGCCACACACCCCCATAATCATTCTTTTCTTTTGAACATGTAGAAGCCTGACTTTACGGATGATGTCCCATCACTACTAAATACCCCAGTCTGTATTTTCCAACAAGGACATTCTCCTGCATAAGTAGCATATAGCCCTCCAAGTCAGAAATCCAACAGCATTGCCACCCAATCCACAAACCCCATTTATATTTTTCCAACTGTCTCAACAGTATCTCTTGTTTCCTTCTGGTCCAGGATCTTACCCATTTAGTTACCCTGTCTGTTCATACTCATTCAATCTGAAATAGTCTCTTAGTCTTTCCCTAGACAGTTTAATGACTAAAATCCATACATTATATAGGATGACCCTCAACTTTGATCCACCTAAGGTTGACTGATGATCATACTTAAGTCATACTTTCTTGGCAACAACATCACTGAAATGAATCTATGCAGTACATCACTGGCAATGTTAACCTTGATCTTGTGGTTGCACTGGTGTCTGCAGATTTTTCCACATTAGTATATTGTAGAGAGTTTTCCAAGAGTACATCCATATGTTCTTTCTCAAACCTCCACCCACTAGCCTTACCATCCACTGACAACTTCATCTGAATCACACACCTCTATGATGGGTGCCAAATGGTAACTTTCTATTTTCTTCATTTCTTCTGCATGTATCCATTGGCACTCTAGTAAAAGATAGAGCTTTCCATTCTTCTCCATGTACCAACTCATTAATTTATAACATAAGGACTTATCAGTTTCTATTTTATTCACAAAATGGTGATCCATTTCTATCATTTATTTTAGTATTAAATTATCTGTTTGGCCAGTGGAGGAGCCCCTTCAGTTTGTCTTTTGTGTTTTCTTGACACATCCCATCATTCTGTTCTTGCTGGCATATAAAGGGTCGTTTGTACGTTCCCTGATCCATCCCTAGACTCTCTCTTTTCTCTAAGGACTTCTAGTTCCTCTTCGTGGAGGCCGGGTACAACATATGGGCACTCAGTGTGCTTGAGGCTGCTGGAGCGTCATCACTTCTAGGCCCACTCAGCAAAAAAAGCTAGAAAATATGTATAATGCCAGATGTCACATAATTTTAATATGTTGGAGTTTTGATTACAGGGCAATAACAGCTTATGGCATTACAATTAGTGAGAAGAATAAACTTAATTCTCTTTGCTCCTCCAACCCCTAGGTATGTGTAATCCTCGAAATTATAGTGATACACCTCCAACTTCAAAGAGCACGGTGGAGGAGCTTCATGAGCCAATCCCTTCTCTCTTCCGGGCACTCACAGAAGGAGACACTCAGTTGAATTGGAACATCGTTTCCTTCCCTGTTGCAGAAGAACTTTCCCATCATGAGAATCTAGTTTCATTTTTAGAAACTGTAAACCAACCACACCACCAAAATGTGTCTGTTCCCAGCAATAATGTTCATTCACCTTACTCCAGTGACAAAGGTAATTGCCAACAATTGACTTTTTCTGTTCTGCCCCCTCACTCTCTGTGGGGTCTGTGAAACCTATATTATGATTATCTTTTTAGAGCAGCTTTTTGGTTTTGAGTTTGTATAGCCTTAACTAAATTCTAGACATCAATAACCCCAAACCCCTGAGTAGATAAGGAGGCATGTCAAGCATATTGTCACAACTCCTTCATATTCTCAGTGATAAAAACTGTATTGGAAGACAGATATATGGTCCCAATATTTGTATTAGACTTTAATTGTCCTTTTCAAAAGATGGCAACAGTACTGCTTACCTAATACAGTATTAGTATTGCTTACCATTAGGTAACATTCAAAGTAGCCTTGGAAATTGGGTTTTTATAATAGCTCTGGTATCAAAATGACGCTAGGTTATTAGCTAAATTTCCTTATAAGCAAGCCAGTATTACAGACATCTGATTTCCGGGTAAACTAACCACACTCAGTTCCCTGCAAATGAGTACTGTTGGTCAGGAGGGAAACTAAATGAGAGAACAACACATACAACTTTGAGAACTATATTAGAGAACACTTAATAGTAAATATAGGTCATACCTTAATTTTGCAATATAAAAGGCATGTGACTTTTAAAGTCCGATTTTTTAAAATAAAAGGCTCTACACAGTTTTACTGTGGAAGAATAAAGCAATTACAAAAATTACAATTATTTCTTAAAATATCAGGTGAATTATGCATAAACAGTACAATGTGTGCTTTTTTTTTAATTTGGCTTTTTGTCGTGGTCTTCATTTCTATCCTACCTGTCTAAAATAGTATGACCTTTGGCTATCAACAGATAAGCAAAATAGCTGTTGTTAATCATACTCAAAGTAAGAGTTCTTATTTCCTTTTAAGTTAAAGTACTTTATAAGACAAATTCTAGATCTTAGAAAATGTCATAAGTGAATGGAATGTGTCTTGCTACTATTTTCCCCATGATTATAATGTAAATAATCAACATAATAGATATTAGATAATAATTCATAAAATTTTCTCAAAGATTATTTAAAGTCATGAAATAGTAATTAGGAAGCTAATTCCTAGAAACATGAACTATCCTTCAAGATAGAACTGAAGGCTCTCCTCTGTGACACCTTGTCTACGTGCCCCTTCTCCCAGGTACAGGTAGCCACTTCCTACTTCTTCTCCCACATCTACAGTTTGATTTGTTGTCTGCTCACTTATAGGTCTCCCATTTTCTACTTAGTTCTTTGAATTCTCTGATTACCCTTTGGGTCCCTAATGGCTATGCCCTAGGAGATGTTTAATAAATACTAGTTGAATAAATACTGAAGTTTGGTAAGTACCAGTCACTTAGAGATTTAAACGCTCCCTGTCCTGTCCTCTGTTAACCCCCGGTGTAGTGCTGTGCTAGCCTCCTCAGTTTCCCTCTTTAGCCAGATCCCATCTTCTATACTCAGTGGTGGTTCCGCTGTCTTCTGATGCCACCTGTCCCCTGAAGCTGGGCTTGCTCCACTCCATCCCTGTGTACACCATCTCCTTGTGACATTTTGTGTTTTGTTATCTGGTAGCTTTGCTTTTAATTCTTCCTAAAACGAGTCAAGTTTTTTTCATTAAGCTTTCCCTTACTATCCAGACCCTTGGTGATTATCAGTTCTATAAATGGTTCTGTAAAATAACTTAGCCATTAACCATATACTTTCTATTAATGGTTTTTATTGTCATTACTTCAGGTACCCTAACCTTCTTTAGTCATATGGGGTTAACCACCAGGAGAACTTAAATTTGAAACAATCAAAAGTGGTTGCTTGGAAACCAGGAGAAATTATTATGAATAATAATGAGTATTTCCTAATAGTTAATACTGAATTATGCTAAGATTGCTAGTCATTTAGCATCATTTGAATTACTTATTTTATTTTATTGTAAGTTCTCTGAGTAACTTTAGCACAGTATTTTTCAAACTTCTTTTAGCTAGCAAATTCTCTCTTCACAGGACATCTTATCAGAAATGCCCAGTTTAAAAAGCACAACTGTGACACATGGCAAATGTTGTGGAGCCCAGACTAACTTTCAGATCAGAGTCTGAGGTCTGTAAAGTGACTAAGTAAGCCCTTTGCATTCTTCAGCTGGAGTGGAAGACTCTGGCTTTCTTCCCAATCTACTTAACAAATGTGATCTTTTTTCCTGTACTTCATCCATTGTTCAGTACAGACTAGCAATAAGAGAACTAAGATAAAACAACTGTTAATAATAGTCAGCTAAGTACTAAAGTATTTCATATTTTTCTTATTTCTTGATTTGAAATCTTAATTTTTTATTTTTCAGAACACATGTGTACTGTGGTTTATTTCGATGACTGCATGTCCATACATCAGTGTAAAATATCCTGTGAGTCCATGGGGGCATCCAAATACCGCTGGTTCCATAATGCCTGCTGCGAGTGTATTGGCCCGGAATGTATTGACTATGGTAGTAAAACTGTCAAATGTATGAACTGCATGTTTTAGAGAAGGCGAAGAAATAGAAACCAAAGCAATTGAGTAAAAAAAAAAGTATGAAAAGCTATTTTCTGAGCTGGTTAAATCAGAATGCCAGCAGGTTAAGAAGATATAAATAACTTGTGCTGAGTTACCTTTAAAATATGTCAAATCCAGCAATGTGTTAAATTATGATAACTGATCATATTGATTTTACTGTCCACTAGCAATAAGCCCCTTCCTCTTTACACATGTACAGCTTTGGTTGTATGAGAAGCATTTGCACAGAGAACACCTTGAAAATTCTGAGGTTTCTAACATAAAGCCTGATGTCATTTTCTTCTAACATTCCAAAAGTGTTTTGTTTTGGAAGTGTTAGAGCATGCTGACGTAAGTTATGATTTCTTCATGCACTACTCCTAGGACACTGAGTTTTTATAGTTGTATGCCATTCTCCACTGCCTTGTATTGCTTATCTGTTCTGTAAATAGGGTAGATACTGAAATATGTTACCCTGAAACCCATTAAAATCAGCATAGAAAGCTTAATTTCAAACCTTTTAATGTTGGTTTTAGAAAGTAAATGCTTACTATGTTTTACAATTTAAAATTTGAACATAGAATCCATCCTATAACACAAATACTTTAGGGAAAGCTTCAAGGAAAGTTCCTTCTTCTCTTCTATCCCCCTGCCCAAAGTGCTGATGTAGGTAGTAATGAAGAGTCTGTATCAAGAATTTCAGGGCATACCTGTGAGGCTGTTAAATATACTGCCAGCATAAGTAGTTAGGAAGTTAAAGCATTTCTCTGACTTAAGTTACCAGCTTAAGTTAAAGAGCACTAGGAATGGCAAATGAATGTTAGGTCAGACTCCACCTAGAGAGCGAGGAAACAGTTTGTCCCTTGTAAAGAAATGGTGGAGCTGGAAGGTGAAGCCGCACTCAAGCAAAGAGTGCGCCTGCTCAGCCTCAGCGGAGGATGAATGGTAGGAGGGGCTAAAGAAGAGAATGCGTGGTGTGGACCGGGGAGGTTGAAAATGCTGGGGATACTAATGGGAAACAAACTAAAAACTATTTACATTAATTATTTTGTTATCTTGTAATCTTTCTTTTAGGTTTATATCTAGACCATATGTTCTTATTAAACAAGTATAGTTATACATTAGGAGGTTAAGATGATGAAACCAAAAAAAATCTTTTTTCAAGATGTTAACTTCAAATATACTACAGAACATTTTTGTCAACTTCTTATATAATGTTTCAATAAAAATAAGCTTAGATACTATGTGCCCTTCATAGTAATAAAATTGCAATCCTGAAGCATCTAAACATATTTATATTACAGACTCTTAACTTTATAAAATTATTAATTTCTCAAATAGGACATATTTGAATTACATGTAACTTTTTAGGAATACCTCTTTGTATGTCTAAATATTTTAGTACATAAACATAGCTAATGGTCTTAGACACTTTGTATTCATTATCTGAACAGTAATTACAAGATCATATGTAATATTATGATTAACCATCATAAAGTTTGAAGCCTTAATACCTTTTCTGCTCTTTTAGATAAACCTAGTGAATATTCAAGGCTTTTTGTAAAGTTGAAATTTAGCTTTTGGATGTATTTTTTGAATAGGAAAACATTGGGATATTCTTTTCTTACTTTTACCTAGAATGCCTCTGTTTAAAAGTGCCTTGAAAACATTTTAGGTCCTGTTCTTCATTAATACCAATAGAAGGTGAAGGTTTTCTTCAACTTGAGAAAGTTTGAAAGGAATCTGTGGCCAGCTGATCCATTTCAACTTTGCATGCTTTCAAAGTAGCTTCCCATATACCTGTGAATAGAAGAATACTTATGTGTTTATTGACAACATGCTTAATGTTTCCTTAAATACAGCAACAAATTTTTAAAACTGCATTTATTGTGTTTTTTAGGTCTTCATCACATGTTTTAACTGACTTTTCTTACCTCTGTTTCTCCCACTAGAAATGGTCCCTAAGCAGGGATAAGTGTGATGCTTAATTTGTCTAGTGTGTAAAAGTGTTGAAAGACGGAGTTCACCTGAAAGATTCCATGTCCGATTTCGACTATCAATATGTTTTCAAACTAAAAGTATAATATTTGGGAAGTTAGTAGCTCCACTAAAATTTAGACCTTTTACTACCATTGTAAGCACAATTTACTTCTGTGTAGAAGTTCTGATTTAAAAAATTGTTTTTAATCAAAAAGCATATCCTTTTTAATAACTAGATTAAAAAACACTAAATTTTAAATCAGTAGGTATGATAAAAGCAGTATATGAAAGGTTCTTTCCTATAGTAAAACATGTCCTTGCTGGAAAGTTTTTCTGTCCCCACCTGTTCCCCTAATAGTATCTGATTATTACTGAAACTATAGTGGCACCAAATCAAGTGGTAATTCAAATAAAATATCCGTTTACAGAGAATGCCATAAAGGAGAGACCTTCATTAAGAAATACAATTTCTAAGGTTTCCGAAAACAAATTGAAGAGATGTTAGAATATTTGAACAATTATTTATAAATCACAATAGCATTAAAATGGAGAAGAAAAATGAAACTTCTGGGAAAATGAGGTAAATATATAAATAAACATATTTAAAGTTTGTTTCTATGGAAGCTTCTTTGAATATTTTTAAATCTATTATGCATTCCCCTGAGCCTATGTTTATTATATTTTAATAATCTACAACATATAAAATTACATATTTTTTCTTTGGTTGTGCCTATAAACAAAAAAGTATTTTAATAAAAAATTGAAATGAGTGCGTTATGTTTTTTGTTAACTTCAGCAGAGAACATCAGAATAGGTTTGACATATCTGTCTAGTGAAGTTACTTTTTTAAAGATTTTATGTATTTACTTTTAGGGAAAGGGGAAGGGAGGGAGAAAGAGAGGTAGAGGAACCACAATGTGAAAGAGAAACCTCGATCTGTTTCCTCTCATTGACTGGTTGCCTCTCACATACCCCCTGCTGAGGAATGGCCCCCCAACCCAGGCATTTGCCCTGATTGAGAAGCAAACCAGCTGCCTTTTGGCTTGCAGGCCAGCACTCAACCCACTGAGCCACACCAGCCAGGGCCAAAGTTAATGTTTAAGGAATCAGCCAAAGCATGTCCCCTTCTCTCTGGATGTCCCTACAGATTCTGTTGAAGCAAAGGAACTAGAACAGTTTGCTTTCTGCTTTTTCAAAATATATTTTATTCCGATACAGGGGGACCTTTGAAATGAAATAATTAATTTAATTAATTATTGCCTAGGAAAAGGCAACTGTGGGCTCAGGAGCTAGGGCTTGTTGTGAACTGCCAAGTCTTAAACCTCTAGCCTCTTCTAAGGCATGCTGAGGCTGGGGCAGTCTGTAGATCTTCTCTCTCTGGGCCCCAGAGTCACTGGCACTGTCCCCTGCCCCCAGCCAAATTCCCTAGAGCAGGTGAGACTTCTGAAGACAAAAGGCAGGTTGTCTGTGTTGCTCTACTTCCTACTGTGTAACTCAAACTCTCGGAGGTAAAGGAGCGAAAAGACCTTGCTATTTGTTCTCCTTGATCCAAGGGTCTTCTGATGCCAACCAGCCTTACAAGAACTATCTGGAGGTTGGAAGGAAGTACAGAAAGGTCAGTGTAGGAAAATAACTCTCATCTCTCCTGTAGTCATTCTTGCAGGATATTTTTAGAATTGAGATCTATAGGCTGTACACTCATGGTAAAAATCAGTGTAATTTTACAGACTCTATATTTTGACAGCCTGATGGATGGGGGATCTAGAGGGCCGAAAATTCAAAAAGGCGGATTATCAGCTTGAGTGACTCAAGGGAATGACAGATCTGACAAATTGGGGGTGTAGAATTAATTTCAAGAAAGAGTACACTTGGTAAGAAAAGTTGGTTTTTTTGCTGACGATGTCCATGGCAGTTTTCATGTGGAGCTGAGAGACAAAGAGGGTTAACCCGGAGATGCAGAGCTGAGAGGGACTATCTCTAAGCTGGAACAGTTGGCAGACGCCAGACAGCTGCCAGCTGCGGCACACTTGGTCTCGTCAGGCTGCTCCACACCTGGCATGTTTTGGTTTCCTAAGGCAGCAGACATGCCCTTAGCTGTGAGTATTAGGAGTTATGACTCAGACCTTTTAGATTTTTCCAGTAAAAAAATTAATTTATTTCACATTCTTTTACTTTGAAGTCTGTGCTGCAAGGATGGAGCCAGCAGTGATTCTTTTGAGATGAGAATGCTTAGAGCAGCAGCAAAGAGAAAAATTTCTGCCCTCCCACACTGGTGCTGGGACTCAGAAGCCTATAGAAGTTGCAGAAGCCCCACCAGTCGTGGGCACAGAAATTCCCTCACTTGACTGAAGGTAGCTACTGCAGTTAGACATAGTCACCACTGAAATATCTTTAGGGCAAAAATTGCATTGCTGACCCTCCTAACTTCTACACTCCACGCTGCAGCAGAGTGGGATGTTCTAACACACGTGTGCAGGCCATCGCTGCACCATCCCATTTCAAATTGAACAAATATTAAGGTCTTTTCGCTCCTTTACCTCCGAGAGTTTGAGTTGCACAGTAGGAAGTAGAGCAACACAGACAACCTGCCTTTTGTCTTCAGAAGTCTCACCTGCTCTAGGGGATTTGGCTGGGGGCAGGGGACAGTGCCAGTGACTCTGGGACCCAGAGAGAGAAGATCTACAGACTGCCCCAGCCTCAGCATGCCTTAGAAGAGGCTAGAGGTTTAAGGCTTGGTAGTTCACAACAAGCCCTAGCTCCTGAGCCCACAGTTGCCTTTTCCTAGAGGTTTCAATTTAAGAATATTAGCAGCTCAGCTCAGCCCTTATTGTCCAGGGCCTCCCAAATTTGCCTCTAGGATTATGTGAGACCCAAGCAAAATAGGTGGCAGATACTGTCTCATGGCAGACATTTGGTGGGATGGGGCTTAGAATTAGATATTATTAGATTTAAAGAAAAGAATGAGGTGTCAAATGCTGCGCCCCTGGGTCTGTGGAATGGCAACGCTACTCCAAGCTTCATCAACCCGGGCCGCCTCAGCATTTCCTACCATGTTCTCTTGAGCTCTCTCCAGTTTCCTCGCTATTTGCTGAACCCTTCCACAGAACTCCAAGCTCATTCCACCTTCAGGTTTTACGTAAGTCGTTTCCTTTGCTATGTCTTGTTTTTTATGCAAATTTTGGCTGCTGCTTCTCATTCAGATCTCAGCTCAAATATTTCCATCACCATTTTTAAAAAGGCAACCCCTTCCTTCATCACCCCAATCCTACTACCCTGTTTTATTTGTTTAACAGCAGGTAAGTCTCCAAAAGTATTTATTGGTTACTTATCTCTCTTCTCTACTAGCATAAAGGTAGGGACCTTATTTCTCCTGTTTAGCACTACCTTAAACACAGTTCCTCAGCACCCTGAAACAGCAGGCACAAACTGTTTTATGGATAAATGAAGGACAGTGCATCATATTATACGTCTGCAACTCTTCAGCACACCTTTTAGGGCCCCACTCCAGTCCTGCCAGGCCTGCCTGAGACCTCTTCATTTCACAGCCCCACTGCAGTCCCACTGAGCTGCATCAGCCCCCCTGGGAATGCTTCCATCAACCTGGGACACTTTTCCCTCTGCGCCCTTCCCTCACCCTCTTCACTGACTCACTCACACAGGTCTCAACTTAATTAGCCTTCATTATTCTAGATCCTCCAAATCATTCCAAGGTTGAAAACCAGGTTTCTATTAAGGAAGATAATTAATTATGATTTGTTATGACTTCAGTAGAAACGGATACCAGAGAACCAATGACACCAATTGAAAACAAATAGAGGCCAGATTAGATGGCAAGACTTGAGCCAAGATTTAGCCAGACGTCCCCCCCCCCCCCCCCCCGCCACAAAACAGCAACAACACATGGCCTAAAGCATGGCCTGCCCCTGGAGGAGCAAGACAAAATGTGTGTTCCTTATGGACAACTGACTACCAAGAGGAAAAGCATGTCCCGTCTCCCCACATTTGCTAATCAAGTTATAACTCTGTCCCCTACCCAGGGTGGAGGGGTGGGGATGGTGGTAATAAAAATACAGGGCAGAGAAAAGCCCATATGTGCACTAAATTATATCCCGCCTGGGAAGGAAACATCGGGGTCAGGGAAAAAGTGTTCTCAACAAGTAGTCCCATAACCCAGGTCCTTTAAGTCCAAATTACACACATTACCTACATCTTCCCAAGTTTTCAGAGAAGTCTGCACATCCCATTGAGGTTAATAAAAAAATTGGACTTTGCATATCTCTGGTTATTACGTTTTTGTCTTATACTCTATGTACCCTCTGATGACATCTTCAAGTATGGAATGTCTTTAAGCAAAAACTCTCAAGAACTTATAACCTGATAGAATCTTGAATCTTTTCGTGTTCCAAAGATCATACAACTTTTTTTGATCCTCACACGAGGATATGCTTATTGATTTTAGAGAAGAAGGGAGAAGAGAGAGAGAAACATTAATGTAAGAGAGACATCGATCAATCATTTGCCTCCCGTATACACCCCCACTGGGGATTGAACTTGCAATGTTTTGGTGTGTGAGACAACACTCCAAACAACTGAGCCCCTGGGCCAGGGCCAAAGGTCATGCAGCTTTTAGGATTTGGGTTATCTCAAGATGACTGACTAACTAGTGGCACAACTTTGAGTTCTTTCTCTAGCTAAAGGTTTTGCCAGAGTAGCATTCTGATGTGTTTAATTTCAGCGGGTAAACTTTGATGTCTTCTTCACTCATGGTGGTCTATTTTGCATATGTTTTAAACTTTCGGAGTGTGAGCTTGTGCTCAACATGACTTTGTGCTATTCCCAAGAGGCCCGGATTGTAGATATATACTTTCTGGAAAGATTTTTATTTGCATCTGCAGCTACTCCCGGAGATTACTAATCCAGAAAACCTTGATGTGAATTTCTTGGTTTATAGGAGTTAAGTATACACATCAGTAGAAGACATTTGAACTACAGAGCTGCATGAAGGTTTGCTCGTGATCATGTACTCTCGGGGAGACATTTGCTCCATCCGGAGCTCAGAACAGCATAGATAGTTGTTCTTTTGTCCTTTGTTCTCCCATTGCCAGAGGGAGGATGTTTTCCAGTCCATATTTTTTGGAAACTCTTGAAAGGATCTCAGCTTCCTGGGCAGCGGGGAGGGCCTCTGTGCTGTAATCCCTAAATTGTGTGGGCCTATACTTCATCCTCTGTCTTCTTGCCCAATAAGGTTCCAGTCTCTTGGTTACTGAGATTAGCCAACACCCCCAGGACAGGAGTAACAACTGTGCCAATCTGGCTTTTAGCTTCAGCATTACGTTTTATTTTTTGATCTGGAGAACTGCCTTAATTTTCGTAAACTTAGCTTTATATTTTTTAAAAGATTAATTATGTTTCATCAGCATTTCTTACTGGTTTTCATCAGGAATTTTTTTCCAGTCTGCAATTTACTGGGGAAAGAACTTTGAATACTTACTTTTCAATATAAAAATGTATATGTTAGTAAGGTTGAGGATTCAAAGGCGGATAGTGTCAAGAATTCAAATTTCTGGTAGACATTACCTGGGGTAACGTTCTTCTCACTATGACCGCTTAGTGGCCTCTCCTGTGTTGTAATTAGCAGGCATCCAGTCACAGCTGCTGTCTACACGCCTGATCTCAGGGAGGACAGCCTATCTCTAGCTCAGGAATCTGAAAGTTGA